CGGGTTCCAGGACACTCGTCACATCCATCAGCGTGGCAGAGAACATCAGAATGTAAATGATAGGCACAATGACACAGCCTTGCTTCATTCCATTGGTCCATGCGAAGGCTTCAGACACCGTCCCGTTGTCCATGATGCGCGCCATCATCCCGTCGTGGAGCTGACGCACCATATGTGTGAAGTGTTCTGGACAGCCGAACTTTCCAAAGTCCGAGGCGGTTCACCGTGCCAAATGCCTTTGTCAGGTCCACGAAAGTAGTGTAGAGGTGAGTCCGCGTCTCCTGGCGCTTTTCTTGCAGACGTCGTGCGGCAAAGATCATGTCAGTGGTGCCGCGGTTATGTCGAAAACCACACTGGCTTTCAGGCAGAAGCCCTTGTTCCAGGTGGCTGTTGAGACGATTTAGGAGAATGCGGGCGAAGATTTTGCTGGCAGTGCTGACCAGCGATATTCCGCGATGATTGTCACAGAGTTGCCGGCTCCCCTATGGCTTGTGGAGGTGGATAACTGTGGCGTACGTAAAATCTTGAAGAACTTGCCCCTGTCGCCTCATCTGTTGGAACAGAGTGGTGAAGTGAGATATGAGTTGGTGGCCACCATACTTGTGGATCTCCGCGGGGATCCCGTCGGACCCGGGTTCCTTCCCGCTGGAAAGTTGCTGCACAGCCTTGATGGTATCCTTAGGAGTGGGTGGGAGGGTGAGGTCAGCGTTGGTTTCCACCTGCGACAGACGGTCAGCGGCAGCCTCGGAGGTGGTGGAGGGCCGGCTGAGTACACACTTGAAATGCACGGCTCAGCGTCTCAGAATTTGTGTCTTATCGGTGAGGAGGGTGGTTGCGTCAGCGCTGAGAATCGGGGCCGTGCCTTTTACTATGGGACCGTAGACAATCTTGAGTGCAGCGAAGAATTTCTTCCACGGGGAGGGTAGGGAGTACGAGGCGGCCGTGCACAGCCTCAGCGGCACACAGTAATTCAAAGATCGGTAGAGTCCAGTTGCCAAAATATGGCAAGTCAAACGACGGGGACTCAACTTAACTGGGATTTATCACGCTCTTTCCTGAGCTGTCACTACTAAGTATGGGCTATGGCCTTATCAGCAGTGGTATCCCCCATCAATAATAACCCGTACTAATTGTTTCGTATAAACCGAAAGGCAGGCATCCCAAGAAATGTAATTTCAT